ACTATCATCTATGTCGTCTACATCCGTAATTGCTTGATCAGTATCCTTAAAGAGATATACAAGTTTGTCGGGAACTTCATAAATAATATTCTCTTCAGCAACTATTTATGATTGCTTAATTTGGAAAATGTGGTTAAATTTTTATCTTATTATTATGTCAATGTATTTACAGTTTTGTAAGCATGAGTATATTTACTAGTACTAATAAGTAAACTAATTATAATGTCACTATTGAAATCACGGCGATTAATTGGCTGACCTTTTTTAAATGTCACGTGGGTGCACTTATGAAGGTTATACAATTATATCTGGGACTCAAAAAATCGCTTGCACGGGTAGAACATGGAGGGTGCACTTATGGAGGGTGCACTTATAGAGGTGTCTCTGTACCTCAGTTGCAATAACTAATCGAAAAAACAGGTACAAAGATTATTACAATTTATAGTAAATACGTACAATAAAGATTTCAAATTTTTCATATGTTTTACTAGTAAATTTAAGGAATGTTGTACATTTTTGGTAGGGCAGTGTATGCATTGGCAGTGCAGTTTTTGTGAAGCATTTTCACTATTACTATTGTTCATATTTTGTTTGTAACACTACCAATATCTAACCCAAAAAGCAAAATAAAAACGGTTGTTAACGCCGCAGCTCTCACTATTACTCTCGCAACATGAAGTTTGAGCGCAACAAAAATACTCGCTATCTTTCATATCTGATAGAACTCGAACCAACAAATATATACGAACTTAAACCTACCACATTACAAGAGGTGAGTTTGTAATTTTGCTTTTCATTTATTTCGTGTTGAATATCAATTGTTTCTACCTCGTCGACAAACGGCGTCATACGGTTTCGCCGTATGTAATTCAACTAGTCCATTTCTGACACTTTAACGTGTCTAATGATTTAATTAGTCCTATTACTATAACTATCATCCGTATAATTACACGCTAACATTACTTACCTGCTTACTCAACTGTCGTAATTATAGTTGCGTACTCGTACTAACTACAAGAGAGCGCCAAATGCCTTTGTCCTGTTCAGAAGTGATTTTCAACGTTCACTCAAATGTTCTGGTGGAAAAGCTTCAACTCTGGCTTGCGTACTTTGGGAAATGGCCGATGCGGTTCTTAGAGAGCACTACACGGATATATATAAGAAGCTTGCAGACGAAACGCCTCCTAAATGGGAATTCAAACTGTTTATTCCGCCGCGAGAGCGTCAAAAAAAATTGAAGGGCTCTTCTTCTCCTGCAAGCGCCAAAATACTTCCTTCGGTACAACATTTAAGCAAGAAAGATACCACCGACCCTTGTCCTTCCACTCCACTAAATTCAAACAGTATTTGTTGCGAGGGTACTAGCAACATTCACACCGAAATACTTCCTTCAGCACAGAAATATATCATCGATTTTTGTCCTTTCACTCCACCAGATGATAGAAGGTTACCCGGTCACCAACCTGACATTCAAACTCATTAGTTCAATTATTTCGAATTTTACGAAGGTCCAATATTGTTTCCTTGTGCCAAGAATGGCTTTGAAACTCGCCCCCGATGATTGTACCGATACCGTTAACATATAACAATTGTAGCAATTACGAAGTTACTAGTTCAGATCCAATGGTTGAGTATGGAAACGAGGGTTATCCATCTGAATATTATATGTCAAATTGTCTTGATGAAAATGCTCCTAATACTAACTTTTGACGGATATTCCACACACACACATATATCAGTATATATACAATACAATATTTACAATGTACAATAACATTTTACCCAATTAACCTTAATTTTGTATTAAATTATAAATAAACATTAGATAAATAACTAGTTGTGATACTTTCAATCGAACATTTCTATCTTTCTCTCATTTCGTTGCAGTACAACGAGAGCTAAACAACCCATGATTAACAACGGGTAAGTCACATGGGACATGTATATTGTTATACAAGCCAATTACTGGCAGTAAAGCAGTCTTGTGATTTCCTATCTCGTTGTGTTGTGTTCTGGCTCATTCGTCTAAACGGTGTGTTCGTTATATTGCAAGTCTGTAATGCCAGGATAACGATTGCCTGATAGACAGTGGTTGCCATATAATTTGAGGTTGCATATAGCCTACATTCCAAATATCCTTTTCCATCACAAACAATCGATTGAAGAAAATATATATACTCTGAAACTATAACAAATAAGGTTAAGAGAACATATTGTTCTTTGCCTATTAAGTGCAAGGCGTGGTCCACAACGGTTTTTAGTCGATCAACATTGTGATATTCCCTATCGTTGCTAAAAATCGATATATTCGATTGTAGTCGGGTTTGCTCGGTCAACTCTGTCGTAGAGTACTTACTAAAACTGTTCTCATTCAATCCGAGATTCAAGGAAATGCATAAGCTACCCTCTTTTATATGCAGTTGCAGACTTGATTGTCATTACAAATCGTCTTGTGGCGTTTGTTAATCTGTGGTTAACATCGGGGTAGACATTGCGATAAGCATGCACTTTTTGATAAAAATAGGTTTGTTTACCACATGCAAACCGAGTTTATTAGCACTTTCATGTTCAAACTATTACATTTGTTCGTACATTAAAATGTCGGAGGAGAGAATATAAACGCAGTAAGACGACAAGATGGAATTATAACTGAAGATCGTATGTCCGTATGTGGCGAAAAGGTTATTGTTGTCCATTGTTACTCAAGTAACACATAACCATTGTACTTATGTAAATAGCCAGACAATAAAAATTCCTCCCAACATTATTGTATTACCGCTTAAAACGTATTTCGTTTCCTATATACAAAAACAATATTAAGCGCTTGCAAACCATTTTGTTATTGTACTAGTAAGCACAATGATTAGCGAGGCAGAGCTAATTTCTTTTTTTAAAATTTAACTTTGACGCTGTGGGAATGCACGTTGTAAATATTGATCGGAATGGATGAAACGTAACGTTTTACTCTTGCCATTTTTCTTTGTAAACATTGACGACATTTATAATCATAATAAATCAGAAAAAAGCTATCAAAGACCCCCTGTTACACATACGAACATACAGTAACGTGCAAAAGTATCCTACCGGTTGTATCATCTAAACGTACATAATAATAACTCCTTAAATTTTCC